CCTTTCCGCTCAAACTCGTCGCACTCGTCGACGTCAACGCACGTCCTGTTATCGGCCGACAGCTTATAGCCCGACTCGCACGAGCACTGGTACCCGCCCCACGTGTTGAAGCACTTGTCGGAGCACCGGTGGCCGGACAGGCATTCGTCAACGTCCTGACAGAAGCGCCCGGAGCCGTCCTCTTCGAAGCCTGCTTTGCATTGACACCGATAGGAGCCGATGGTGTTGACGCATATGGATGTGTCCGGCGGACAGACACTGGACCCGAAACGGGTGCACTCGTTGATGTCCTCGCAGTCCCGGTTCATGTTGAGTATGTAACCCAACGGACACTCGCAGATGTAGTTCCCGGGCCGGTTGCGACAGATCTGCATACCTGTGCACTCGTGCGTACCCAACAGGCACTCGTCGATGTCTTCGCAAGCATTGCCTGTTTGTGACATTCAATAGATGATTGAAATTTTGATATATTATCAACAGTTACGTGAATATACCATATTTGGTGGGCTGGTAGCCGGGCGTACAATAGTGACTACACCGATAACTACCCACAGTATTGATACACTTCTGGTTGGCAGCACAGGGAGCGTTCAGACACTCGTTGATATCCACGCAGCGGTTGAGCGTTTGGTTAAACATTTTGCCGCCTTCGCAGTCGTTGGGCCGACAGTTGCCATCGATGGTCAGGTGCTGACCGTAGGGACACGTGACGCGATCGCATTTGAACGAGCCGTCGATATTCCTGCACCGGAAGTCTTGCCCGCAATTATCGGTACCGATCTCACACTCATTGATGTCTTCGCATAGGTCGGTCTCGGCGTTAATGGTATAACCGGTGCCGCAGTCTTGGACGCGAACGCAGTGAAAGGAGCCGATGGTGTTATCGCACCGGAGTGTGTGGTGACAGGTATGCGTTCCCAATTGGCATTCGTTGATGTCCTTGCACTCGCCCGTCACACCATCTTTGATATAACCGGCCTTTAAGTGATAGTAAAAGTGTGATACGTTTTAGTGGGTTTTGGGACATGGATTTGATTTGATGGACACACACCTGACAGTAACAGACATAACTGCCGACAGTATTACGACAGGACTGGTCCCGACGGCAGGGCATGTACTCTGTCTCGCATTCGTTGATGTCTTCGCACTCCTTGGACCAGCGGTTGCGTCGGAATCCGGGCCGACAGTCCTCCTGCGAGTCGGCCGACACTAACGGCAAACAGTTGTACGAACCGTCGGTGTTGACGCAGTTATGAGTGGCCAGATTGCAGATATGTTGTCCGATGCGGCACTCGTCGATGTCCTCGCATCGGTAGGTGAGCTTCGAGAACCGGTAGCCTTGTTTGCATTGCGTCGGGTCTGTGCTCTGGGCTCCGGTGGTGGTCTCTGGGCTCGAGTCGGGGATTTGCTCGCAATAATAGCCGCCGACTGAGTTAATACAGGTCTCGAGCGGCTCCTGACACCCGTTTTGGCTCCGGTCCACACACTCGTCAATGTCCTGACAGTCGCGGTCCCCATTGGGCCCCCGCTTGAAACCCGGGGGACAGGTATCGCCTAATAGTATGCACTGAAAGGATCCCAATTGGTTTTTGCACACATGTGTCAATCGGTTACAATTGTCGGCGTTTTCAAAGCACTCGTCGATATCTGTAATGAGTTTTTTAAATGTATTTATCTTTTTGTATATTTTTAACACTTTTATATAATAAACAAAATCCTATTTTATAGATTAGATATTGTAAATGAGGACCTAGTTGCAAATTGATTACATACCGCCGCACCTCCGGAGTCTAGTGCTCCACTTGTAGCCATCGGGACAGGGATGCAGTTCCCGCGACTCGAGTCTCTCGCTTCTGGACACGCATTGAAAACTTCCGAAGTTATTCACACACTCTTCGGATCTGATATCGCAGTTATGGGTCTTCTCGTCGCACTCGTCCACATCAATACAATCCCTGCCGTCGACCGCCAATTGATAGCCTTTATAACAGGAACACCTAACGGGACCGACATCAGCGCCCGGGTCGTAGCAGTTATGGGCACAGGGAGAGGCGTTGGTGTCGCATATACTGACTGCGGCGCCTATACGTGATTCAAAGTATGTATAAAAAATGTTTATTTAATTAATCGAAAAGTGTTATCAATTTGTGTATATAATTGTATAGATATTTCTCACCACTTCTTCGCGTACTAATCGCAGCATTCATGTTGTTATCGATTAGTTTAGGCTGAGCGCAGCACTCGTAGTAGACATCCTCGTAGGGGTATCCCAGGCCAAATGTACCATGCGCGTTGAATGTGCAGGGAAAGTTAGCCCCGCTAGCCATGAGACCCAATTCGCACGACAGGCAACAGTCTTTGGCCGACTCGTTGGCAACTTGCGTGACAATAGCCGTGTGTATGGCCGAGCAGTTGGTGCGGCTCTTGGCGAACGCTTTGCCCTCCTCGCAGTTTCTCTGCCGGTGCTCTTTCACGCAGCAGATCTCGACCACGAGCTCGCATTGGCGCCGGTATTCCGAGTTTGTCATCAGCCGGTCGAAGGATGTGTTGTGGAAACGGCAGCCGCCGGTCGGTAGTTGTTTGGCTCGAGTGGTGCCCAAATCGCAGCACTTCTCCAGTAGGAACTCATAATCTGTGGGAAATCGTAGGGAATATGAGCAAGGTATAATAGTTTTCTAAATACCGGGATAAGTTTGTGAACATTACCGTCATATCTGTTGCTGCCATGAGTTAAATGAATTGCATAAGTGGTTAAAAGTAATAAATATAAAATGATATTCATTGCGAAGCATTTAAATTTCTATGCCTATTAGTAAAAGTTAGTTTTGCCTAATCAACAAGTACATTTGTTTACATTTAGAAAGCATTTGACTTAAAATATAAGACCAGAGTTAAATGCAATTATAAATAAATAGCAAATAATGATTAGTCAAAACACTTAAGTTATTTATGCTTATAGTTGTTTCATTGATTTGCTTATCATTTATACGTGTTTTTGAGATAATTTTCTCGAGAATTTGTCAATTTCTGTCATTTTTCAATAATTCACATCAATTTGTTTGCAACTAATCTATTGAATTTAATATTGAATTTAATATGTAAGTTGTTTAATGATAAATAGATTCATTTTAAGGTCGATTTAGTTAGTGATTTGGATTTTATTTTTGTTTTCATTCAGAGGTCGTATTGAGAAATTGTTTTGAAGTTTTGTGAATTAACATAAATATGTTTTAGTGGAAAATATTTATGATTAAAATAGTTTCAATTTAATTGGAAATTAAAATTTTTAGTCAGAATTAAGGAATTTGCCATTTAAATGTACTAGTCACTGTTATTTGCACACATTTTACAGCAATTATATAAGATTTAATTTGCATTTATAATAAAAAATACTTTAATTAATCTATTATAAATGAACTTGTTTACTCAGCTTAGGCTCATGATATATAGTATACCTGTATCAATTGTATTTTAAAAATATGTTTTTAACCCACTCTTGACATTCATTACATACTATTCACGATATTGTGTGTGGATTTCATTGTCAAATCAAAATGATTGCGAAAAACATCATAATTTTCAGTCTTCTCGTACTTTTCATTGAGTTTTTAGACGCAAAACCCGTAGCGACGAGCGATTTGCGTAAAACCATCCGATG